CCTGACTCATAGCAACCCCTCCTTAGGTTTCCGAGCCAGTATCACTACGGAAGTAGATTGCCCCATCTTCCTTCCGAGGAGCAGCTGGTGGGTTTGAACCACCAGCCTTCTGGTTAGCAGTCAAGTGCCTTAGGCACTACACTACCAGAGCTCCTGTCTAGATAGTAGACATTTGTTATTTTTGATGATGAGAAAGGTAACACTGAATGAGGGTGAAGTGTATATAGTTTGACCAAGGTAAATGATGCCACCAAGATATACACACAAAAAAAGGACGTTTTATAATTGCTGTGGCATATATAATTTTGCAGCAATAACCAAAAAATATATGTGAACCACTAAAATGGAATTAATGAGAATGTGCACACACTGAAGAATATAACCAATGTCACTGACAGTTTGTGTAGAAATTTTATGGGAGCCTAATCTGCTATATAAACCTTCACTGAAAACAATATAATATATTTTTTAATTAATTACTTTCAAGAATTTATAAATGATCTGATTTTCAACTATTAAAACTGAGATTAGTTTTTCATATCAATTTTTTTGCAAAGATACCTACAAAGCTTGTATTGACCCTTGAGTGTTCCACTTGAGTAGTGCAAAAAGACCTGTTTTCTGACCCATAAAATACTGTAAGTACTAATTACAAGTGGAAATGGAATCAGTCTTTGAGTAATTTTATTTTTATATAACCAATGTTTCTTCCCCCATAGACTGCCTTGCCATCTAGGAAAGGATTTCGACACCAGACCACTAAATTTTTGTATCGTTTGGTGGGGTCAGAAGATATGGCTGTGGACCAAAGTATCGTCAGCCCTTACACTTCTCGGATACTGAAGCCTTATATCAGGTACATGGAGAAGAGGTGTGATGTTGAGTGTGTTGTGAGGGATAATATTTGTGGTTTCTGCCCACCACACCCCTGATGGATTGGATAAGTGTGAGCAGCATTGGCAAGGTCTAAGCTTTGTGCCTTGTGTCCAGTTTTATCCTTTGCTTGTTGTACTTTTTTGCAGAAAAGGTGATTCTTTGAAAGAAAAGTAAAAATCAAGGATTGGTTATGTCCATTAGATTTCATTGTGATTGTCATAATCATTGTTTTATTTTAAACTATTGTTGTATATATCTAGTAGTCTGTAAAATGAAGAATTGGGAGGAACATGTTCATCAAGCATATAACCAGAACTGAATGTTGGGACTATATCTAATAATGAGTCTCATGTGGGTGGCAAAATGGGAGCTGAGCTTTCTAGAGAAGCCCCTGGTAGTGTCTGACCCTGAGATTGAGAGAGTACGTTGTCTGCTGGAGCCATCTGTGCTATGTAGTTTCACAGTCACACTCATCTTCCTTGCCCAGCACTAGTGCCTGGGCAAACACATTGAAAGGCTGTTTGCAACTCTGCTCAGAGTTGCACTCTCATCTCTGCACCCAGCTGCCCTGGCAGAGCTGGGTGTTCTCTCCTCTGGGCTCCAACAGCATTTGAGGTACAGCTCTATAGCAGAGCATCCTCCCTGTTCATAAAAGCCCAACAGCACCTAGTGCAGCTCCTCACAGGTACAGAGGGATTTGGCTTGATGAATGTTTATAGAGTCAGTTTTAAATCTCATACCAGAGTGTTTTAGCTGCTGTCAAGCTAGCAATCATATAAAGCAGTGCAGATGAGTATGAGATTGTAAGTAGATCGAAGAGTTTATGTGAATGAAATGGCTAGGAATAATACTGGGTATTTTTCTTGACTTGAGTTTGTTTATTTTCTGTGGCACTGGAGGCGTGACTATGAAACAAAGCCACCCAAACTACAGCTCCTGTCACAGATTCGCTCCCACCTGCACAAGAGTGACCCTCACTGGACACCTGAGCCTGAAGCACCTCTTGATTACTGCTATGTTCGGCCAAACCACATCCCAACAATAAACTCTATGTGTCATGAGTTTTTCTGGCCGGGTATGTTCCCCCTCCCACACTAGGCAGATCAATTTTCTGTATAGTTTACTCTATTTTTTTTACTAGTGTATGCCATCTAACCTTAAAACCTTTACTCATGATTTCATTTGGTTTGTCTCTGCTAACATAGAAATAGTAAAATATAAATACCTCTTGCTTTCCTAAAATCAAGAAGAAGCCAGCAATTAAAGTAATAAACAGTGTTTTTGTTTGTTTCTCTTCCCTGTTTGTCTCTGCTTCCAGAATAAAAGATTCATCCTGTTTTGCTTCTACATATGTTTAGATACCAGGTAATGTCTATCAAAGATACACAGACTGGTAGCTTTGATGTGCTTGGACACTTCTGTTTTTTGCCTAGTGATTCTCTGTGCTTTGTTTATTTAACTGCTCCCTAGAGTGTGTAAGTACAGCCAAAAGTTGTTTTTAAAAAGTCAGATACCATAGTCTTAGAGAATAAGAGTAGACCAAATATGATTTGTCATTTTATCAACCTCAGCAAATTGTCTCTGAAGACCAGAGCCATCAATTAAAAACCAAACTCACTGCCTCTGAGTCGTTTCCAATTCATAGTAACCCTTCCTTGGATTTCCAAGGCAGTATCTGTACAGAAGTAGATTGGCCAATCTTCCTTCCACGGAGTGGCAATTAAAGGAACATATTTTAATGCTAAGTGTAAACACATTTTTTGTGGATCTGCCTTACCTTGCTACTTTGAAACATAAAGGCAATAATGCCACCAAAAACAAAACATTTTTAAAAAGAAAAAAAGGAAGTAATGTATATCCTCCAGATATTAGGTAAGATTTCATCAAGATTAGAACTGTGCCATCTTTATTGGCTGATAACCATGTCACTGATTACTACATTACATATAGTAGCAGAGTTGTACTTTTTTTGGGGGACTGTTATTAGGGCTGAAAGGAACATTCTGAAAGCATCTACTTCCTGTCCTTGAGCTAGGTGTCTTACATGCATTATTCATGGAACCTTTTTTCATTTAACTTCTTCATTGTGAAATATAGCATTTGTACAGAAGAGCTTATAAATTGTAGATGTATGGGGTAAAGCATATAATGATCTGAGCACTCGAGATCTTTACACAATTCTGTGAATCCTGGTTATACGCCTCGTCTTGTTGTAGAAGCTGAGTCCCTGAGACATTTAGAAATATGTCTGCCGTGACATACATGGTAGGGGAAGCCAAGTTCAAAGCCAGGCATTTCCAGCTCTGAACCTGTGAGCTCTCTACTACCCATCCTACCCTGCCTCTCTTCTTTTAATATATGCCCTTAGAAAAGACTATGTTAATTTTGATACTTTCTAAAATTCACTTTTATTTTTATAATCCAAAGGTGTGGTGTCTATGGTATTATCTTTGTCCTCATGTTGGGATTTTTTGGCATGCAGGTGTATCTGTAAGTACAGACTGAACAGCTTGGCTTTCCTTCATTCCAAAAGGCACCATGGTTTGAATTTCTGATTGTTTCCTTTCTGTAGGCATTGACCTGTCTGAGTGTCTGCAGTATCCAGACTTTAGTGTGGTTGTCCTTTATAAAAAAGTCATCATTGCCTTTGGCTTCATGGTTCCTGATGTGAAATACAATGAAGCCTACATTTCATTCCTGTTTGTCCATCCTGAGTGGAGAAGAGCAGGCATTGCAACTTTCATGATTTACCATCTGATTCAGGTCAGTCACCTGGGCTCATGATTTCAGCTTGTGTTTGGGTTCCTTGGAAGACTAAGAAGAGCAATGTGGCTGAGCTGGTCCTTCCCAGTATGACCCAGGGGTGCATAACCAAAAACCAAACCAACTCATTGCTATCAAATCAATTCCAACTCAGAGCAATCCCCATTGGGTTTCCAAGGCTGTAAATCTTTACAGAAGTAGATCGCCCCATCTTCCTTCCATGGAGCAACTGGTGGGTTTGAATGGCTGACGATCTGGTTAGCAGCCAAATGCCTTCTCCACTACATCACCAGAGTTCTTTGAGGTTATTAAACACACAGACAAAAACCTCCAACTTCCCAAAATAAGATTACTGTTCAGACCCAAGTGTCAAGGAAGCCTGTTTGTGAATATGTGGAGTAAATAAAAGTAGATCTGAAAATCAGACCCTAAAGCCCTGTATATACAATAACTGTTCCTCCTCTTGGAGTTGTCACTGTCTCAGCTCTGGGAAGTGGAAGCAGAACTACATGCTTTTCAGTTGTTGAGTATTTTTAAGCATCTTAGCAAATCTCTACCAATAGTCCATATTCTATTCTAATTTTTTTAATGATATTATCACTGTATAAGTATCACTGTATTAGCTGGTATGAACCTTTCCAACTCAATTCTAGTATCTTAAGGATATTCATTCTTTGATATACCTGTATCACCTTTGAAGAAAAAAAGTAATCATATTTTATAACTAGTATCAGAAAAGTATGCAGGAATCTTTATTTCCAGAATTTTTCTGATAACTTTGACATTTGGTATGGAGGACTGTGTGTTATGTGGGCAACTTTTAAAAGAGTTAAAAGAGGATGGAGATAATATAATTATTATTATAATTAATATAAGCAAACCGAAAACCAAACCCACTGCCATCAAGTCCATTCCGACTCCTAGCAACCCCATAGGACAGAGCAGAACTGTCCCATAGGGTGTACAAGGCTGTCAGTCTTTCAGAAGCCAACTGTCTTATCTTTCTCCCATGGGGTGCCTAGTGGGTTTGAACTACCCACCTTTTGGTTAGCAGTCAAATGCTCTAACCACTATGCAACCAGAGCTCCTTTTTTTAATGAAAAATTTTCAGTAATTCCCAAATGTTGACAGGAACCTGGAGAACTGTCATTCCTAGAAATTGCTTTCTTCTAATTCCTCAGGCAGTGATTTTGTAAATCACGGGTGTTGGTGGTTAATATGTGCTACCTTGTGTTATTTTCCACCGAGACTTCAGTTATTGCTACCACACTTCCCTATCTCTCTGCCCTACACCACCCACAGAATTTATCTTTACTTTTCTATTTTAGCAGAGAACTTACAGGATTTGCGACCTTTCCTTCGCTGATACATGCTTAGAAGAAGCCCCTGTGATACAGTGGTTAAAACACTAGGGTTCTAATCAAAAGGCCCATGGTTCGAAACCACCAGCTGCTCCATGGGAGGAAGATTTGGCAGTTTGCTTCCATAAAAATTTACAGCCTTGGAATCCCCATGGGGCAGTTATGTTATGAGTTGGAATGAACCTCTATTGCAGTGGGTTTGTTTTTGGGTAAGGGCCTGAGCAAGGCAGGGATGATACTGTAATGTGTGTCCATAGTGCCTTTACGTAGCATGGTGCAGTGTCAGTCCTCACTGGTGTTCATTGGGCAGATAGAGGGTCATTGTCTTTGTATGTGGATACCTAGCACCAGCCAGGCCAGACACCCTCAGTCAGTAGAACTTGAAGGTGGCCACAGGTAGATTGTTTCTGTTTGCAGTTTAAAGAGCGCTACTGTCACCCCACAAAATTTGCTCTGTATACTTGTAACATGTTCTCATCCCTAGGATGCTAATTTTCTCTTGTCCTAAAAAATGCCTTTGGAGACAGAATGTGAGTTAAACAGAGATACAGTGGTCTTGGACAGAGGAGTTCCTGAATAGAGGTTTTGGAGAACTAATGATTATAAAATCTCAAGGGCTCTATCTACTTCAGCATTACAGGGTCTTCTTTATTAAATAAGGAATTCTTAATTCATGTGACTTTTGGTATACCTTATTTTGTGTAGCTGATTAAAGAATCTAAGAACTTTCTTTGCATTGATAAAACAATTTTTAGTCTTTTCCCCCAGGATTAGGCCAAAGCTGAATATAAAGAAATATATTCTAAATCTCAGTTCTGAGAAGCTAATTCTGTCAGTTTTAGGGAGTGGAAGGTGGACTTTGGGATTCAGAAGATCTGTATAGGGTCCTCAGTTTTTACATTAAAGTCTCAATAGCTCACATCTACACAGATAATTTAGCATCTTTCCTGGTGGGCCTAGGAAGGGAATTTGGGAATGCAGAAGAACATCTGGTTTTCAAAGCAAAACTTCTTGTTATCTATTCTTCAAGTCTGTTATAAATATTTGATATTAGTATGCTTAATGTATTTAAATAAGTTATAAATAAAATAATAAAGTTGACAATAGACTATTTCTCTTGGCCATCGCTTCCGAGGGAAAAAACTATCCAAAATGCCATCAGATACTTCAATCTGTGAGGATTTGATATGCAGCAAATGCCACTGGGTTTCCAGCTGTTGCTAAGTGTTGTAGTATCTCAGCCTCAGTCCTTGATTTCTCTGGTTTCCATAACTAACTGCCTACACTTAGAATGAGTTTCTTCACCTGCTCATTCTCCCTTCAGGCCTTTTCATTCTTATCTTGTATTTTCCACTCTTTTGGCAGACCTGCATGGGCAAGGATGTGACCCTTCACGTCTCAGCAAGCAACCCCGCCATGCTGCTATACCAGAAATTTGGATTCAAGACTGAAGAATATGTCTTAGATTTTTATGATAAATATTACCCCTTGGAGAGTAAGGAGTGTAAGCACGCATTCTTTCTGAGGCTCCGTCGCTGATGCGAATACAGCTCTTCACAGAGAAATGCATCTGCTGTGAAAGGAGTCTTTATATAGAAGCAGCTATTCTATGCAGGCAGTAGTTCCTTTCATTGTGGATTCTCATCCTCACTGCAATTAGACGTTGATTCAAGCCTCTGAATTGAGGTGAGGACGGGTGGTGAGCAGGGGAAGCAGTAGCAGACCTGCAGCAAAATAATTGTCCAGTCCTCTGTTTCATCCAACATCTTGGGACTCCACAGTTACCTAAAACCAAATGGTACAGCTGTCCTTCTGTCTGACAGTTTGTAAAAGAGCATCTAAATTGATATTCTTGGTGAGAGAGAATTTGGCTGTCCTAATGTAAAGGATGAGAAAATGTGTAGCTATTAAAGGTTTATACAGTGACCTAAAGGCACTTTCCAGGAGAAGGTGCCCTGTGTCCTGTGACAATGAGAGGAGCTTGTGAGATGATCACATAAAGGGATTCCAGTCGTGTCCCCAGCCATTGACAGTGCATTGTCAGTGAATCCAGGAAGACTTCTAGGTCATAGAAGTTCTGTTACCTCTATTGCTGACGTTGATCACATCCAGTAAAAATAAACTAAATGTTTGTGTCTCTACATTGCTCACCTGTTCTACCTGTTAGCATCTCCATGACAGGGACTTTGACCTGGGAACAGAGGTCTCACTCTTCTAGTGCCTGTGGAAGCTGGTTTGAGTTGCAGTGGTTGAGCAGCCTGCCCTGTAGATTGCTCTCTGTGCCCTCATGCCCAGGACAGTTTAGCCGCTGGAGTAGAGGGTATAGGGTGGTAGAAGTACACCCAGCTGTAGACATAGCCTGTATCCTATTTGCAGGACTGAATTGTTGGGTTTGTCTGTGGGTGTTGGAGATGAACAGTTGTTAATTTTCTGCCCATCAATTTTTTTTTTTAATTCCAAAATTATCAGATACTCACAAAATAAAAATCCTTGTGAAAGATTTATTGCCAAATTACTGACAGTTTATTGCCAAAGCTTCAATCTATGCAGTTTCCTTCCCCCTTTAATTAAGCACATGATTCTTAACCTTTCTTGGAACATGGATCCCTTTGAGAAGCCAAAGCTGAACACTCTGTCTAGAAAGTTGTCCATGCACATTTGAAAGTTTTCGTCAGGGACTTGTGGACCATAGAAACTATATTTGCAGCCAGCTTGTGACCCTTTGTTTAAAGAAGAATGTATAGTTGTCACATGAAAACCATATGAAATTATCCTGTCAACTGGGGAAACAGTCCAGCCGCCATTTCTTTTTGTGTGAAGAACTTGTCGCAGCACTATCTCATTTTTTCTTTTTCTTCCTTCTCTCCATCCTTCCTTTCTTTTTTGGAAAGGTTTTTCCTCCTTTTAAAGGTTTTTGCTTGAAGAAATGGGTTGTAACCCATTAAATAAAATTTAGGAAGTAACGTTTTCTAAATCTGGAGACCAACTTGTGACTATTGTATGTAAACATCAAGCATTTGTTGTTGAAAAGAGTGGCTGAAGCCATTGTCTCCATAACTTTAAAGAACTGAAGAAAACTATTACTGCCTTAATAGACTCTTTGTTTTACATATTTTAATTATGATTTTAAAATAATAGATTCGGAAAATGGTGCAACAAAGCGCCTGCAGGTTCCTATTACTCATATTCAGCAGTTATTACAATTTTGCCACATTTGCTTAATTTGTTCCTTTGCTGAAGTATTTTAAAGGATATTCACTCCTACCTATTTAGATAGATATTTTTTTTAAAAAATAGGGGTATTTTCTTACATAACCTAAATGTATATTATCACACTTAACAAAATGAAGAAATTTTTTGGAATCATCTAATACTCACTCTATAGTCAAATTTACCACATTGTCTCAGAGATGCTGCCACAGTGATTTGTTTGGATCAGCATCTAAGCATTGTCTACCCAGTGATTGGTCTCCAAAGTCTAGTAATCTAGAGTAGTACTATTACCCCTGTTTTTTTCCCTAACATTGGTTGGTTGCAGGAACCAAATTGCTTGCCCTGTCGAATGTCCCATATTGTGGAACTGTCTATTGTTTCCTGTATTGTCCTTTGTGAAGAGGGCTAGACCAAGTGGAAGTGGTCTTTGTCTCCTTTAGTCTGAGTCCTAGCTGAAGCTGACTTTTCCTACCCTACCCACCCCGCTTTTCCCTGGAGTTCCACCCATTCCTGCCTGGGCATCAGGGGCATGGCTATTTCTCAAGAGTGGATTTGTCAGCCAGGATAAGTAGTGCAGTTGCTGGTCTTGATAGGCCTTCCTCTCTGGCCTTTCCCCAGAATTAGTCCTATAATAAAACTTTGGCTAGTTCTCTAAAAATGATTCTAAACAATTGTGCAAGAGGTGGGGGCTGAGTATGGAAAAGCATTTTCAAATTACTGTGCTTTGTGGACCTTGACAGAGGAGAGCTCTACTGGCCACATCTGCCATCCACTCAGCATAGAACATTCTTAGAACCTATTGTGTTAGCCAAGGAGCTGTGGTGGCATAGTAGTTAAAGCATTTGGCTGCTAACCAGAAGGGTGGTGGTTCAAATCCACTAGACAGTCTATGGGAGAAAGGTGAGGCAATCTGCTTCCATAAAGATTTACAGCCTTGGAAAGCCTAGGGGGCAGTTCTACTCTGTTCTTTAGGGTTGATGTGAGTCAGAATCAACTCAGTAGCAGTGCATTTGATTTTTGGGTGTTTTGTCAGCCAGCCAGGTAGGGCTAATAGATATTAGGAGCTCTGGTAGCACTGTCTAAGGCACTTGACTGCTAACCAGAAGGCTGGCAGTTCAAACCCCACAGCCACTCATCAGAAGGAAGGTTGGGCAACCTACTTCCGTAGTGATACCACCTCGGAAGCCCAAGGAGGGATTGCTATGATTTGGGTCTGACTTGACAGCACATGACAGCCATGGCAGCAGCTGCAGAGGGAATGTCCTGTTTTGTACTTCTCTTATGGCACTTGTAAGCTATTTTGTAAGGAGCCCCTGGTAGCCCAGTGGTTAGGTGTTTGACTTCTAACTGAAAGGTTGGGGTTTAAACCCACTAGCTGCTCCACAGGAGAAATGACCTGGCAATCTGCTCCCACAAAGATTACAACTAGGAGACCCTCTGAGGCAGCCTACTCTGTCCTATTAGGGTCGCTATGAGTTGGAATAAACCTAATATCACACAACAAGTTATTTTTAACATATTGTTAAATGGGCACAACTTGATACTAGAAAAAAAAAATTGAACTTAAGGAACTATGTGAGAGTAAATTCGATAGAGGACTTCCCACATTATGTTTGATAGAGGCTTTCGGCAGCCCTCTATTTGGTAAAATTTAGTTTGTTATCAGTGCCTGTATTGAGTTGGAGCAAATGCTGTTGGATCAGCCAGATTTGGAGCTCCCTCGGATCTGTGTGCAGCTCTTGTCTTCCCAGTGCCTGGCTGAGGGCTGGGCAGACCTCAGTTGCCAAGTTTCCCAAAGCAGTGATGGCTGGCTGGAAAAGAACTGAGTCCTCTGGGCACCCTATTCTCTTCCCAGAGAGTCATGCATCCTATGTGGAAACAACTTGTAGAATTGAAGAACTTTGGGTTTGTTGAGAAAGAGAGACTCAGAGTGGTTGAGTGATTTGCCCAGTGCACTAAAAGGATGAAAAGATTCCTGTCACTCAAGCTAACCCAGTATATCCCAGCCTTGCCCTGCAAGGACCCTAGAAGAGGAAGGCCCAGCTATAACCAGATACATGAATCTTTTAAGGTTTAGCTTTAAAAAAGTACAGGTATGCATTCATGGGGAAGAAAGTCTCTTTAACAAATGGTGCTGGCAAAATTGGATATCCACGTGCAGAAAAATTAAACAGGACCCAGACCTCACACCATACACAAAACTAACTCAAAATGGATTGGAAACCTAAATGTTAAAGCTAAAATTTTAAAGTTCTTGGAAGAAAACATAGGGACAGAGCTATGAGAACTAAAAAAAAAAATTACCAAATATCACTATAAATGCATGAACAGCACATGACAGATAACAGGGACATCATAAAAATAAATATTTATAAACATCAAAAAATGGTCAAAAGAGTGAAAATAACTCCCAGACCAGGAAAAAATCTTCGGGAACAGCATCTGATAAAGGTTTAATCTCTCTAGAAAACTTTAACAGTGCAACATCAAAAAGGCAACCTAATTAAAAAATGGACCAGTGACATGTAGACACTTCACTGAAGAGAACAATGAAGCAACCAACAAACACAAAAAGATGCTTATGATCATTAGCCTTTGTTCTTTTTAGGTGCTATTGAGATAGTTCCAACTCATAGTGACCCTCTATTCAATAGAACAAAACACTACCTGATTCTTCACCATCCTCACAACAATTACCATTGTTGCAGCACTGTGTTGATCCATGTCATTGAAGGACTTCTTTTTCACAGACCTACCAATCATCATGTCCTCCATAGACTAGTCCCTCCTGATAACATGTCCAAAGTATGTGAGACAAAGTCTCACCATCCTTATTTCTAAGGAGCATTCTGGCTGTACTTCTGACAGTCCAGGATATATCCAGTATTCTTCAGTAACACCATAATTCAAAGGCATCAATTCTTTGGTCTTCCTTATTAATTGTCCAGCTTTCTCATGTATATGAGGAGATCAAAAATACCATGGATTGAGTCAAGTGAACCTTAGTCCTCTTCAAAGCTGCATCTTTACTCCTTAACACTTTAAGGAGATCTTTTGCAGCAGACTTGCCCAATGCAGTTACATCATTTGATCTCTTGACTGCTGCTTCCAAGGGCATTGGTTGTGGAGCCAAGTAAAATGAAATCTTTGACAACTTCAATCTTTGCTCCATTAATCAAAATGTTGCTTATTTGTCCAGTTGTGAGGACTTTGTTTTCTTTATGCAAGATGTAGTCCGTAATGAAGGCTGTAGTCTTTGATCTTCAACAATAAGTGCTTCAAGACATCTTCACTTTCAGAAAGCATGGTTGTGTTATCTGTGTACT